TATTAGCTTTTATGTTATTAATTTATTTTAATTTTATTATAATAACTTTTCCACAATGACCGACACAATTTTTCTTTTATTTTTTTCTTTATTTTGTTGATTTTTGTAAATGCGTAGTTAAAGTTTTGTTGCAATTTATTCGCGAAACATTTGTAGTTGTTGCTGGTTCTTTTCGTTTCCCCACAAAAGAATTTCTTTTCTGCTCACTTCTTTTTTTCTTCTTGCTTTTAATTTCACACTTTTTTTATTATTTGTTAATTTATGTTTTAATTTTCTCCTTTTTTACTCAATTATTAAATTGTTTACAAATCTACGCGTTATTTTCATTCAACCACACTTTAACTGCACTTGTATAAAACTGATTCGAAATACAACAAAAACAATGTATTTTAAATACAAAACACAAAAAATCTTCTTTATTGTTGTTGTTGTTGTTAAATCAAGACGAAAAATACAATTGGGAATTTTGTTTTTGTGTTTCATTTGTTTTGATTTTTTTATTTGTTATAATGTGTTGCCAGACTTAAGATTTGCTTGGATACACTTAAAAAATAAGAGTAGAATTGGAAAAATATACAGTAAAATTATTTTAAGTAGAGAAAACTTTTATACAAGAGATTTTCTATAGTAAAAACTGTTATACAAAATAATTTCTGTAAAAGTATTTGTTATAGGAAATATGGAAACTCTAAATATAACTTTTATATATATTTTTTCTGTAAAAACTGTTATACTAGAAATTTTCTGCAGAAATAATAGAAAAATAAAAACAAATTAGAGATAAATTATCTGCAAACAAAACTGTTATACTATATATTTGTCTAGAAAGAACAATGAAAAAACATTATACAGGAAGTTTTCAAAAAAAAAATAACTGTTATACACAAAAGTTTTATAGAAAAACCTGTCATTTTTTAACGAAAACACAACACAATAATTTATAAAAAAAAACTGTTATACAGAAAGAATGTTTTTTAAAATAAAAACTCTTATACAGAGTTCTTTTTCTGACTTCGATCTATTTTTGACTTATTTTTCAATATATATGGCAAAAACTATTATGTTTCAGAAATGAAAAATTTTGTTTTTAAAATTTTTGTAATAAAAATATAAAAAATTTAGGTGTTTTCATAAGTTTTAGATTTTAAATTGATTTTTTATAAAAATATTGGATATAAAAGTGAAAAAGTATTAAGATTTTCTACGTCGTAACAAAAAATAAGTTTGTTCAATATCAACTTTTTTCGATTGATTCCAACGTCTTAAATATTTTTTACAACTTATTGACTTTATCAAACATATTTAGAACTTTTTCGATTTTTTTACGCTCGACTTTGTTAAAACAAAAAGTCACTTCGACTTTTTAACATTTTGGAATCAATATTAACATTTTTTAATTTTGTTTGAAAGGTAGTACTTATGTCTTTCAAATAAAAAAACAAAATTGTAGATTGGTTTCATTCCAGCAGGCATTAAAGAGTTATTTATAGTTTTTAATATCGCTTAAGGTGGAAGTACACAACACGCGGTGTACGCGGCAACGCGTTATAGGCTTCTGTCAAAAAAAGTTTAAATAGTGTATTTTCATTTAACAAGTTACACATTGTAGTTTGTAACGCGTTTGCCGTGAAAAGTTCAGCAAGTTTCAACTTTTGACACGTCGGCAGCTGATCACGGTTGTATTTTGTTTTGTGTAGATACTAAAATTAAAAAAAAATTTCTCTAACAATGGAAGAAAAATATTAAAAAACTTAAATTTTGATTTTTAAAACAGTTAGTCCTAAAAAACATCAAAAGAAAGATCACAATGATGCGTAGTGTGTAACTTGCCGTTTATAAAGCGCGAAAAGTTTGAAAAGAGTGAAACGCGTTGCCGCTTCAACGCGTGTTGTGGACTGCCACCTTTAATAATTTATTACACACATAGCTGCAAACTTAGGCGTATTAACGCCGTTTTTCAGACGCCGTCGAATTTTTTTGTGTCAGCAGACGCCGACTTAAATGTTTGTCGGCACAGCTCTTTGGTGACACATTCCAAAAGTGTTTTTTGCAAGAAGAATTTTTATTTAAACAACAATAAAAAATGGTAAGTTTGAATATAAAATTAAATAAAAAAATTGTATATAAATTAATAAAATATCTTTTTTAATTAGGCCAACTATTCCGAAGATCAATTAGCTGGTAAGTTTTATTATTTATTAAAAACAAAACGAGTAGTTCGTGGAAAATTAGTTGGTGTTGGAGTCTCATAAAAAAAGTTCTTGACAATTATTGGGGAGTTGCCGTGAACAAAGTTTTTTTCGTTGTTAGGGCTGGCTGTCTTTTTGAGTTTAAGAAATCTTAATGGAAATGAGTCATATTAGGAGAAAGAAAGAAATCAAGTAAATATTCGTATTTGTGAAGAAACAAAAAGTAAACAATGATATTGTTGAAAGTTTTGCATACAACATATTATTTTTGTGTGTAATTTCTTAATTATTCGGTTGATTTGGTGCCAACTCATCTTGTTACAGTGTTATAAGTACTTCAGTTAGGTTTATTATAATAAATAGCATTGTTAGTCATCGTTTTATTTATTATTTTTGTTAAAATTTTTGATAAGATTTGTCGTTATAGTATTTGATTTAAAGCAAATAGTTAAATTTTGTCGGTATGTACTAGTCATAGCTCCTATAAGTAGTATTGTTTTTCTTAAAATGTTTAACAATTTTCCGCCAACAATTTAATTTATAGCATTTTCTTTTTTCTGTTAAATACTCGTGAAAATTTTGTTTCTTTACTCGATGTTTTTGTTAGCCATATAAAGCTCAAGAGACGTTCTATAGATAGCGACTATACATTTAGCTGTATTTGCCTTAAATGGTAATGTTTACTGCTAAAATAAATGGCTTTTATTTGAAATCTGTCAGCTTTTTGTTTAAACTCATAAACAGTTTTACTAAGGTTTATTATTTTCGTTTTTGTTCAGTTTTTTTTTATTTATATGTGTAAGTTAGTTTTTATTAAATATTATGCAACTGACTAATATTTTTCTATTATTTTCTTTTTGTTTTATTTTCATATCAGTTTATTTCTATATAAAATTAACTGCTAATCTTAAAATTCTAGTTATTGTCGATAAAATATTGATAAGACTTTGGTTTAAGTAGTACTTTCCATTAAGGTAGTTAAAGATTAAATAAATGACGTTTTTAAGGAGATTGATAAACTAAAGAAAATTTGGATTAACTTGTTTTCTCTCTACGCACTGGACAGATCCGAGCTTTTTAGTTAAATTTTAATAATTTTCTCTTACCTCACAGTTATAAGATAGATAAATAGATAGATAGATAGATAGATAGATAGATAGATAGATAGATAGATAGATAGATAGATAGATAGATAGATAGATAGATAGATAGATAGATAAATAGATAGATAGATAGATAGATAGATAGATAGATAGATAGATAGATAGATAGATAGATAGATAGATAGATAGATAGATAGATAGATAGATAGATAGATAGATAGATAGATAGATAGATAGATAGATAGATAGATAGATAGATAGATAGATAGATAGATAGATAGAGAGATAGCTAGATAGATAGATAGATATATAGATAGATAGATAGATAGATAGATAGATAGATAGATAGATAGATAGATAGATAGATAGATAGATAGACAGATAGATAGATAGATAGATAGATAGTATGATAGATAGATAGATAGATAGATAGATAGATAGATAGATAGATAGATAGATAGATAGATAGATAGATAGATATATATATAGATAGATAGATAGATAGATAGATAGATAGATAGATAGATAGATAGATAGATAGATAGATAGATAGATAGATAGATAGATATATAGATAGATAGATAGATAGATAGATAGATAGATAGATAGATAGATAGATAAATAGGTAGATAGTTCTGTTCTAGTTCAGTTCTAGTTTAGTTCTAGTTCAGTTCTAGTTTAGTTCCAGTTCAGTCTTGTTCAGTTTTGCTTCAGTTCCAGATCAGTTTCAGTTCTATTCTAGTTTCAGTTCAGTTTGAATTCAATTCTGGTTCTAATTCAGTTCAGTTCTAGTTTAGTTCTAGTTCAGTTCTAGTTTAGTTCCAGTTCAGTTCAGTTCGAGTTCAGTTCTTGTTCAGTTTTGCTTCAGTTCCAGATCAGTTTCAGTTCTGTTCTAGTTTCAGTTCAGTTTGAATTCAATTCTGGTTCTAATTCAGTTCAGTTCTAGTTTAGTTCTTCTTTAGTTCTAGTTCTGTTCTAGTTCAGTCCTACTTCAGTTCTAGTTTAGTTGAGTTCTACTTCAGTTTAATTATAGTTTTAGTTCAATTTTAGTTCGGTTCTAGTACAGACAGAATTGATAGATAGATATAACGGGACCGTTATAGTGGTGTGTAAAGAAACTATTTTTGAAATGTTAAATTTTATTAATAATTTATATTGCATTGTTTACAACATACGTGCTTGCCATTATTAATTTTAATGAAAACAATTTTCAATGTTAGATTGTTTTTTTTTACCATAAATGGCATATTCACAACCCAGATTTTATTTGAGAGTCTCTACAAAAATGAGCAATTGATAATAGCAACAAATACAGTTTAAGAAAAACTATAAATTATACATCTACTGTAAAACGGAGGTAGTTTATCTTAAAATAGGGGATATCGATTGTTTTATATTTGAAAATATATAAAGGTTTTTTATTACAAAACAAATTCTATATGAAAATCTTTTTTTATGGATGATTTTCAATAAAATATCAACTCCTCTTCATAAACTACGCCTCTTTGTATTTAATCAAATATCAGTATTTGCTGTGTTCCATTATCATCATTAACGTTAGAGGCGTTTTAAAAGTTAAAACAAAACGAACACATACTCAATTCTTAGACAAATTTGGTATACAAATACTAATATACATACATACAGACCATAACCACATTTCATATGAATGAAAATCAAATCTCGGCGAAACGCTTAAATTGCAAGAGAAGACAACAAACAAGACGTTCTAAACCACTAAAGGGGGAAAGTAGAGGGAAAACAACGACTAAATAAACTTGCCACAATTGCGGCCTAGTAAACGACATGCAACACAAATAAGCTTTAGTTGTTATTGAATTATTACCCCGATAAATTGTGCTTATTTTCCACTTAAAGCCACAACAATAAGTTGTCAAACAGTTAGTGAAATAAAATTTATTTAATTAATTAAAGAAGAAAAAAAAATGTTCCTTTATGAGGCTCCTACAAAATATAAATTTTCCACTGTTGAAGGTTAGAGAGTGAATGAATCAAGAAGTTTTGAATTCTAAGGGAAAATTTAAAAGTTTTTATGTTTGAGAAACAAATCATTGATTTGTTAAATAATTTAATTAAGTGCGTGAACAAAATTAATTAATGACAAAAATTTATTGAAGAAATTTTTCAACATTTTTAATTGTTAAAAGAAAAAATTTAATATTTTTCTAAAAAAAATTTGAAAATCTAAAAATACATTTCTTTCAAAATTATAACTTTTTTAAAAAAATGTTATAAATTTTTAAAAATTTTAAAAATTATTTAAAAATTTCGAAATCCCCACAAACAAATTTTTCTCAAAATAATTTTTTATTAAATTTTTTTTTTAAATGATTTAAAAATTTTAAAAAATTATTCAAAAATTTTCAAAAATGATTTAAAAATTATTTGAAAAATTTCAAAAATTATTTAAAAATTTAAAAATTTTTTTAAATTTTTTAAAAAAAAATTATTAAAATATTAAAAAATTATTTAAAAATAGAAAAAAATTTCAAAAAATATTTAAAAATTTACAAAAAAAAATTTAAAAAATTATTTAGCAATCAAAAAAATTATTTAAAAATTAAATAAAATCAAAAAATTATTTAAAAATTAAAAAAAATCAATAATTATTTAAAAATTTTCCAAAATTAAAAAAAAGATTAAATTTATTTAAAAATATTTCAAAAATTTCCTTTCCCCCTTTTACAGAATTCCAAGAAGCCTTCAATCTCTTTGACAATCGTGGTGATGGCAAAATCCATGTCAGTCAAGTGGGTGAATGCTTACGCGCCCTGGGACAAAATCCCACCGAATCCGATGTCAAAAAATGCACACATCAATTGAAACCCGATGAGCGTATATCTTTCGAAGTTTTCTTACCCATTTATCAAGCCATTTCCAAGGCTAGATCTGGTGATACGGCCGATGATTTCATTGAAGGTTTACGCCATTTCGATAAAGATGCCAGTGGTTTCATTTCCTCAGCCGAACTAAGACATTTACTCACTACCTTGGGCGAGAAATTGATGGACGAAGAAGTGGAACAATTGTTGGCCAATCAAGAGGACTCACAGGGCAATGTTAATTATGAAGAATTTGTACGCATGGTTATGAATGGTTAGGAAGCGTAAAAAAACAAACGTAAAAGGAGAGAAGCCAAATATCAACTTTAAATGTATTTGTTTTTTTATTAACCACCAACAACAACAAAAAACTCTTCAATTACAGCCATTTTTTTCTTACCTAACTTATAAATAAAGTTTTTTTTTATAATTCGGCAACTTAACTTAAGTAGAAACCTTTTAAATTCCTAAAAACCCTTTTGAAAAAAGTATTTTGTAAAGTATTTTCTTAAACAAATAATTTATTTTCTGCTTGTTTTGCATTTAATGAAAAAAAAAAAGAAATTTTAATTTAAAAATTAACTTTATGCGCAAGTGTATTTATTAAATTTATTCCACATTTTGTTTTTCTTTTATAATTATAATATGTATTTTTAAAAAATTATACACTCACCTATAAAACACATACATAATTTACTAATTTTTTGTATTAAACATAAAAAAAGAAAACAAAAACTACTTTTTATTTCATTTAAACAAAAAAACAACTTAATTAGTTAAACAGCTTTTCCCATTCAAAATTCCCATTGCCAATTATTAGGATCATTTAAATTTAAATCATTTAATTCTTTATTCAACTGCAGGCTCTCATCTGCAAACAAGTAAACATAAGAATAAACATTTTATAATAAAGTTTTTCTATCACTCACCTCTTAACTGGTCATAGTCGGACAATTGCATGCCAAAACGTTGGGTTACATCTAGAATACTATTATGGCGGCATTGTTTGAAAAATGAATGTGATAAAAGCTTTAAGGCTGACCATCTATTGCTGGGTTTCTTTTCCATACAAATTTCGGTAAACTGATGGAATTCATCGGAAAACATGCGCTGCAAATAGATTTGCTGGGTTTCCGCGGCTATAGTTGAATCGGTTTTATTGGCAGTGGCTATGATTTCTAGAAAAAAATATGTAAAATTGTTTAGCTCTATGTGGATATGTGTAATGTTTCCAGACTACCTATCATTTCATCTACCGCCGGACAGGTAGAACGATCCAATAAAGTCGGCACATTGCCTCTAATCTTCTCGGTAAACATAAATGTAGGTTGGGAATCAGCAAAAGGTTCCACCCCATTAGCCAATTCACAGCAGGTAATGCCTATCGAATAAATATCTGATTTTTCATTATAACCAATAAGATTCTGTTCCAAAACTTCGGGGGCCAACCAATTTAAACTGCGTATACTGTGAGGAGGTAGTTGATGTAGGGCAGTGACACGGCCACCATGAGACATAAAACTAGTACAATCTCTAAAGCCTGTTAAAACAGCTTTCGTTTGATTAAGTAATATATGACTGGCTCTAACAGAACGATGAATATAACCGCGTCTATGTAAATACTCTAGGCCCGACAAAACATCACGCATTATTAAAGCAATAAGAATTTCAGGGAAACCTTAAAAACATAATCACAATTAAAATATTCCTTAACTACTCCTCAGCTTAATAGCTTGCCTGTGGGAAAACAATTTCTTATGGTATCCCGGCAACTGCCAAAACACATCAGTGGACTTACTACGCACAAATCAAATTCGGTTACAAATGTTGTATAGAATTTATGTAGATTGGGATGACTAAAGTGTCGCATAGCCAATACTTCGTCACGTATATTTTCCGCCTCTTCTTTGGTGGTCCTTTCCAAATGGTAGCGTTTCAAAGCTACATGCTGATCATTGGGTAAATATTTGGCCATATAAACAGTGCCATTAGAGCATTTAGCCAGTTCCAATTTTATATCATAATCACGTATATTCCAGCCAAACATTGTAAATATTTGGTTGGAATACTTTTTTGTATAAGAAATTTAATATTTGCTTAAAAAAATAGATTTTTATTAATTAATTTACAAATAGACACACTAAAATCAAAGTGAAAGAGAGAATCAATTGAAAAACAATAACAAATTTATTCATTTGAAATGTCAAATTTTGTAAAGCAACAAAAAAGAGTTGCCGGTAGTTATAGAGAGATGCCGGATTTCATTCTTTAACATTCATTACAAGTGGAAATTATTTTGTTATTTAAAATGTTTACTGAATATCTTATAAACAATCAAATGTAAAAACTAAAGAACCTAAATTATTAGCTTTTCATAAAAATACATTTATTTCTAAAATTTCTTCTATAAAATTCAAAATATTTAGTTTATTTACCTCGGTCTTTATCCCCATTTGCAAATTTTCACATCTGGTTACCTTTTGGCTTAACTTTGGCTACTCTTTGCCATCTGGCATCACTAATAATTTGCTTGTTGCAAAAATATAATTTTTTTATAGTTTATTTTTATAATTTTGCTATTTTTCTAGGAGAATTGCAAGGATTTTATAGAAAAAATCCTTTAAAAATATGGCTGATGCCTGGGATGATATCAAGGCATTGAAAAGCAAACGTAATACGCTCAGAGAAAAGTTAGAGAAACGTAAAAAGGAAAGACATGGTATTTTGCAAGCCACCGGTGGAGCCAGCAATTTAGCGGCTTCTTCAAAGACCGAAGACAACAATGTGGGTCTAGTCAAGAATCCAGCTATAGTCAGGAAAACGGAAAATGGTATTAAATTATTCACAAAAAAGAGCAAAACATTTTTATAATGACCTAAATTTTTTATTAGAATCCGACACTTTAGTAGAGCAAGCACTGCTGGAAATATTAACCACCCCATCGTTAGTATTGCCCATTATATCTACCCAATTGCTAGAAAAAGTTTCGCAGATAACAAAATCTCCAGTGGTAGCTGAAAGTGTTGATTATATTTTAAATAAATTGGCCAAACAGGGAGCCGTTTGTATCAAACGGGTGACAATTGGTGAAGAAAGTGGCTGTGAGGTTATTTCTTTGGAATCGAAGATATTATTAGATCTTTATAAGAGTTTCATAAATGACAATTTCGATTTAACGGAAGAAATTAAACGAAAATATAAGAAACTATGTAAGTTTTGAACAATTTTCTCAAAAGATGAAATAGACTTTAATAATTCAAAATTTTAGTTGAAGATGGTGATATGCTGGAGGACAATATGAGTAATGATCAAGCGGATGAAAGTGAAGATAGTTCAGATCGCAAAGATATCAATACAAATGCAGATTCGGATGATATAATGGTGGGTTAAGGAAACTATCAACTATTCTGTCTAGAAGCTGCGGAAACTTTACAAAATTGCTTTCTATTGTCCTTTTTTACTCTTTTCCAGTCTCTCCTCTCTATGCCCTCGACCCGTGAAAAACAAAGTAAACAGGTGGGTGAGGAAATTCTTGAACTTTTAACAAAACCTACCGCCAAAGAGCGTTCGGTAGCGGAAAAGTTTAAATCTCATGGTGGTGCCCAAGTCATGGAATTTTGTCCTCATGGCACTAAAATCGAATGCCTTAAAGCACAACAGGCCACCGCTGAAATGGAAGCTAAGAAAAAGAAAGAACAAATCGAAACTCAACACAAACTTAAAACTCAAAAGCGCCAAATAGCGGCGGAAGACAGCAACTCCGAATCACCCTCCACAGAAGATTTGGCGGTTAAACGTTTAAAACCCAATGAAGAAGGCGCAGATAACGAAGAAACCTCAGAAGAACTAGAAACAAAAGCTAATGACTCGGGCGCCGAAGATGGTGAAATAGTGGCGGACAATACAAAAGACGAAATCACCGTGCCAGGTGGTGAGGAGGATACAAACGATGAAAATCTACAACATTTGAATAAATGTACAAAATTGCATTTTAAAAAAATCATTCAATCGCATACAGATGAGTCTTTGGGTGATTGTAGTTTCTTAAATACTTGTTTTCATATGGCCACTTGTAAATATGTCCACTATGAGGTCGACACTCTGCCCAACATAAATACGAATAAGCCAACCGATGTCAAAACCAATAGATGTATTAAACGCAGCGTAGATCCTAGTGTAACTTTGTATCCACCTCAGTGGATACAATGTGATTTGCGTTTTCTCGATATGACCGTTTTGGGTAAATTTGCGGTTGTCATGGCTGATCCACCATGGGATATTCATATGGAATTGCCGTATGGCACTATGTCAGACGATGAAATGCGACAATTGGGTGTGCCAGCTTTGCAAGATGATGGTTTAATCTTTCTTTGGGTTACCGGCAGAGCCATGGAGCTAGGACGTGAATGCTTAATGTTATGGGGGTAGGAATTCAATCCAAATGATTGTAAACAAATTGTTAACCATTTAATTATTTTAAAATTCCAGTTATGAACGTGTGGATGAATTAATTTGGGTCAAAACCAATCAATTGCAACGTATTATACGCACCGGTCGAACCGGCCATTGGCTTAACCACGGCAAAGAACATTGTTTGGTGGGCATGAAGGGTAATCCGAAAAATCTTAATCGCGGCTTGGATTGTGATGTTATTGTTGCCGAAGTGCGAGCTACTTCTCATAAACCCGATGAAATTTACGGTATTATAGAACGTCTTAGTCCGGGTTCACGTAAAATCGAATTATTTGGCCGTCCTCATAATGTTCAACCCAATTGGATTACTTTGGGCAATCAATTGGATGGTATACGTCTAGTGGATCCTGAGCTTATAACACAATTCCAAAAACGTTATCCCGATGGCAATTGTATGGCACCAGCTACGACTAGTGTTACTCCCACTAATCCTACAGCTAAGAAATAAATTGTGAAGAGAATCAAGTAAATTGTTTACTATGAAATACAATCATGAATAAAGTGTTTTTATTAAGAGTTTTTCGTAAAGAGCGGGAGTGTTTTTTTTATTAAGAATTATTTAATAACATCTTTAAAAGTAATTGTGGTAAAGGAAAATATTAAACGACTTCCTAATAAGAATTTGACTCTACAGTAGAGTAAGCATTCTCTTCAAAGATCTTATTTGATCAGTTCTAGTACAGTCTTAGTTCAGTTCTATGTATTACGTTTCTAGTTCAGCTCTAGTTTCGTTAAGATCAGTTTTATTTCAGTTCTAGTTTAGTTCAGTTCCAGTACAGTTCTAGTTCACTCCTAGAACAGTTCAGTTCTAGTTAAATTCTAGCTCAGTTCCAGATCCGTTCTAGCCCAGTCTTAGTATAGTTTTGATGCAGTTCTATGAATTCTAGTTGCGTTCAAGTTCAGATCCATCTTAGTTCAAGTTCAGTTCTTGTATAGTTCTATTTGAGTTCTAATACAGATCTAGTACAGTTCTAGGTCAGCCCTAATTAGTTATTGTACAGGTCCAGTTCAGTTCTAGTATAATTCTATTACAGTTCCAGTTGAGTTTTAGTTTTGAACTTGAACTATAAGTTCAGTTTCACTTCAGTTCTTGTACACTTCTAGTTCAGCTCTAATTTGGTTTAAGTTCAGTTCTAGAACAGATCAGTTCTACTTAAGTTCTAGTTTAGTTCTAGTTCAGTTCTACTTTAGTTCTAGTTCAGTTCTTATTTAGTTCTAGATCAGTTCAAGTTCATTTCTAGTTCAAATCTAGTTCAGTTCTAGTTCTGTTCTCGTTTAATTCTAGTTAAGTTCTACTTTACGTCCAGTTTAGTTCAAGTCGGTTTAAATTCAGTTCTAGTCCAGTTGTAGTTTAGTTCCAGTTCAGTTCTAGTTTAGCTCAGTTCTAGTTCAATTCTAGTTCAGTTCTAGTTCAGTTCTAATTCAGTTCTAGTTCAATTCTAGTTCAGTTCTAGTTGAGTTCTATTTCAGTTCTAGTTCAGTTCTAGTTCAGTTCTAGCTCAGTTCTAGTTCCGATCTAGTTCAATTCTAGTTCGGTTCTAGTTCAGTTTTAGATCAGTTCGAGTTCAGTTCTAGTTCGGTTGTTGTTCAGTTCTAGTTTAGTTGTAGTTCAGTTCTAGTTCAGTTCTAGTTCAGTTCTGGTTCAGTTTTAGTTCAGTTCTAGTTTAGTTCTAGTTCGGCTCTAGTTCAGTTATAGTTCAGTTCTAATTCAGTTCTAGTTCGGTTCTAATTCAGTTCAAGTTCAGTTCAAGTTCAGTTCTAGTTCAATTCTAGTTCAGTGCCAGTTCAGTGCTAGTTCAGTTCTAGTTCAGTTCTTGGTCTGTTCTAGTTCAAATTAGTTAAGTTCTGGTTCAGTTCTAGTTCAGTATAGTTCAGTTCTAGTTCAGTTCTATTTCAGTTCTAGTTCAGTTCTAGTTCTAGTTCAGTTTAAGTTCAGTTCTAGTTTATTTCTAGTTTAGTTCTAGTTCAGTTCTAGTTTAGTTCTAGTTCAGTTCTAGTTTAGTTCTAGTTTAGTTCTAGTTCAGTTCTAGTTCAGTTCTAGTTCAGTTCTAGTTCAGTTCTAGTTCAGTTCTAGTTCAGTTCTAGTTCTAGTTCAGTTCTAGTTCAGTTCTAGTTCAATTCTAGTTCAGTTCTAGTTCAGTTCTAGTTCAGTTCTAGTTCAGTTCTAGTTCAGTTCAAGTTCAGTTCTGGTTCTAGTTTTAGTTCAGTTCTAGTTCAGTGCCAGTTCAGTGCTAGTTCGGTTCTAGTTCAGTTCTTGTTCAGTTCTAGTTCTAATTAGTCAAGTTCTGGATCAGTTCTAGTTCAGTTCTAGTTCTGTCTAGTTCAGTTCTAGTGCAGTTTAGTTCTATTTCAGTTCTAGTTCAGTTTAAATTCAGTTCTAGTTTATTTCTAGTTTAGTTCTAGTTCAGTTCTAGTTCCGTTCTAGTTCCGTTCTAGTTCTAGTTCAGTTGTAGTTCAGTTCTAGTTTAGTTCTAGTTCAGTTCTAGTTTAGTTCTAGTTCAGTTCTAGTACAGTTCTAGTTCAGTTCTAGTTCAATTCTAGTTCAGTTATAGTTCAGTTCTAGTTCGGCTCTAGTTCAAAATTCCACTAAAAATTAAAATTCGACTAAAAGTTCGTAATTTCACTAAAACTGAAAATTTCACTAAAAATTCAAAATTTCAACATTAAATTAGATTTGTTACCAAAAATTAGCAATTTCACTACAAATTCAAAATTTCACCAAAAATTTAAATTTTCACTTAGACATTTTTAGGTGAAAAATAGTTTAAAATTTCACTATAAGTTAAAAAAACTTAAAATTTAACTAAAAATTTCAAATATCATTAAAATTTTTAAATTTCATTAAAAATTCAGAATTTCACTTTAATTCAAAATTTCACCAAAAATTTCAAATTTCACCAAAAATTTAAAATTTCACCAAAAATTTCAAATTTCACCAAAAATTTCAAATTTCACTAAAAATTCAAAATTTCACTAAAGATTTAAAAAGATTGACAATTTTTTTTAAATTTTGTTAAATTTAATTTTATAATTAAAGAAAATCTTTGTAGAATTCTTTAGTATATAGTAAGACAATTAAATTAAATTCAAACACATGTGGGCTATTATTTTTTGCAGAAATATTTGCTTTGTATTTTTTTCCTTTAAATTTCTATACAGTGTAGGTATTGTTTTCATTTCTTTTAATTTAAATATAATTAATATATAATATTCCAACTAATGTATACAATTACTTTTTTTTTTATTAGAGAAATATTATATAAGGAAATGTTTAGTAATTGTTAATAAAACAAAAAGATGTTTAAACTAAATGTTTACAAGTAGTCATTAGTATTAATATAATTTGTTTGGTACTTCAGGGGGAAGAGGGGAGGGAGTTAATCAAAGATTAGTAAAGGTTAGAGTTTAAAACGTAAAATCTTTTGATAAGAGTTTTGGGAAGGGAATTTTAATTAAGGAAGCTATAATTTATATACAATTTAAAATTCTTGTTGTTTTTATAAATTTACTTATTTAATATATAAAAAATATATTCTGTTATGTTAAAGTTAGGTTATATTTTGTAAAATGAAAACGTAAGAAAAAAAAAATAACGACAATTAATTTTTATATCCATTTTAAATGTATAATATGATTTGATCAACCTCCATTTACTTAAAATTGTGTTTTTTTTAATAATAAAAAAAATAAATTGCTTAAATAACCTGATTTAAATTACAAAAGAAATTAAAACATACAATTTGTAAAATATTTACAAAGAAGAAAACCAAAAAAAATTAACGACAACACAGACCTAATTGCTGTTGTCTAGTTTATAATTTATGATGATTATGAGGAGGACTAAATAGAGGATAAATATGTACGACTAAAATATGTTTGTGTTTTAGGTTTCTTGTCAAAATTTTCTTTCCGGCACATTTAACGTGAAGGAGATGTTAGACCATGGACTGCCTTTAGAACCACAAAACCTAAAACAGTGGCAGCAGCTACACCCAAACTAGCCTTCCACCACAAAGTAGGATCTTCAGTCATAAGGCCAAATTGACGTAAGTGGCTAAAGTTTAAAAGAAAAATAGACAAAACAAACACCAACCAAGTAAGTAAAACTATAATTTTCCATTAAAACAAAACATTCACACATAAAAACATTATTAAATAGTTTAATTATTATTAGTTATTACAATGAATAAGGAAAAAGTTTTACCGCCTGTAGCTGATTAGAAAAGCATTTTAAAAAATGTTGTTTTAATAACAATGAACTTGAATGAAATGCTTAATAATTTAAAATAAAAATAAAAAAAAAACTAAAAATCATAAAATATATAATAAAGTGCAGAGTTGTTTGCGCGCAGCAGCTTATGTTTTGTTTAATTTGTTGCTCATTATTTTGGTGTGTATGATTTGTTTAATTTTATACACAGAATATTAAAATAATAACAAAAATAAAAAATTAAATACATTTTATTGTATTTATATAGGAAAAAAAAAGTAAGAAGACATTGATAATATTGTTATTAATTAACAATTTATTGCTTTTTATTAGAAGTAGTTAAATTAAACTTACGCCGATTCCCACAGCTGTACCAACCTGTGCTTGTAAAATAATATCCATGCGGCTTGAAAGCGTCTAAATATTTTTGTTTATTTTTTTATGCAAATGTTTGGTTATATGAATTCCACATATTGTTTAATTAAGAAAGACATTTTAACCATATACCAGTTATGAGGTTTTTATTTTTTGGAATAAAAAAACACCACCATTTTATAAAAAAAAAGATTTAGTTTTTTTTTAAGAAACAGCAAAACAAAATTTGAAAAAATAGAAAAAGAAATTTTTATTATTATTGGTTTATATATTTTTAACGGTATTTCAATATTTTTAAACGGAAAAACTAACGTAGAATTTTGAAAAGAAAGTAAAAATTATTTTCGTGTAAATAAAAAAAAAAAATAATATGAATTACAAATTGAGGTTTGAATTGAGTGGGAGATATTGAAAACAAAATAAAATAAGAATTATGTATGTAACACAGAAAAAAGTTCTCAATTATTGTTTTAATTTTTAAATTTATGTTCCAAATATTTTTAGAAAGTAAATAGAACTGAACTAAAACTGAACTAAGTTTTAGTTCTAAGTGAACTAGAACTAAAGTAGAACTTTACTGGAACTGAACTAGAACTAAAGTAGAACTTTACTGGAACTGAACTAGAACTGAACTAGAACTGAACTAGAACTGAACTAGAACTGAACTAGAACTGAACTAGAATTGAACTAGAACTGAACTAGAACTGAACTTAGAATGAACTAGAACTGAACTAGAACTGAACTAGAACTGAACTAGAACTGAACTAGAACTGAACTAGAACTGAACTAGAAACTGAACTAGAACTGAACTAGAACTGAACTAGAACTGAACTAGAACTGAACTAGAACTGAACTAGAACTGAACTAGAACTGAACTAGAACTGAACTAGAACTGAACTAGAACTGAACTAGAACTGAACTAGAACTGAACTAGAACTGAACTAGAACTGAACTAGAACTGAACTAGAACTGAACTAGAACTGAACTAGAACTGAACTAGAACTGAACTAGAACTGAACTAGAACTGAACTAGAACTGAACTATAGACTGAACTAAACTAGAACTGAACTAGAACTGAACTAGAACTGAACTAGAACTGAACTAGAACTAAACTAGAACTGAACTAGAACTGAACTTGAACCGAAATAGAACTGAACTGAACTATCTATCTATCTATCTATCTATCTATCTATCTATCTATCTATCTATCTATCTATCAAATATCTATCTATCTATCTATCTATCTATCTATCTATCTATCTATCTATCTATCTCTCTATCTATCTATCTACTATCTATCTATCTATCTATCTATCTATCTATCTATCTATCTATCTATCTATCTATCTATCTAAATATCTATCTATCTAAATATCTATCTATCTAAATAGCTATCTATCTATCTATCTATCTATCTATCTATCTATCTATCTATCTATCTATCTATCTATCTATCTATCTATCTATCTATCTAAATATCTATCTATCTATCTATCTATCTATCTATCTATCTATCTATCTATCTATCTATCTATCTATCTATCTATCTATCTATCTATCTATCTATCTATCTATCTATCTATCTATCTATCTATCTATCTATCTATCTATCTATCTATCTATCTATCTATCTATCTATCTATCTAAATATCAATCTATATAAATAGCTATCTATCTATCTATCTATCTATCTATCTATCTAAATATCTAAATATCTATCTATCTAAATAGCTATCTATCTATCTATCTATCTATCTATCTATCTATCTATCTATCTATCTATCTATCTATCTATCTATCTATCTATCTATCTATCTATCTATCTATCTATCTATCTATCACATAAAAATTCAAAATTTCACTAAAAATTCAAAAAATCACTAAAAATTCAAAATTTCACTAAAAATTCAAAATTTCACTAAAAATTCAAAATTTCACTAAAAATTCAGAATTTCACTAAAAATTCAAAATTTCACTAAAAATTCAAAATTTCACTAGTTAGTTAGTTAGTTAGTTTGAAAGGAGGATGTATATACATCAAATCCGAAGAAATACACCTAGGCCTCTATCGGGCCTGTTGTGCGCTCCTTAACCAGTGCCTCAGGTGGGAATCGAACCCACCACCTCCGGTCTACCAGCCTAGAACACTAACCACTAACCTACCGGAGGCCACTAAAATTTCACTAAAAATTCAGAATTTCACTAAAAATTCAGAATTTCACTAAAAATTCAAAATTTCACTAAAAATTCAAAATTTCACTAAAAATTCAAAATTGCACTAAAAATTTCAAAATTTTACTAAATTTACAAAACTCAAAATTTCATTAAAATTTTAAATTTTTAGTTTAAAAGTTCAATAATTTCACTTGATTTCAAAAAATCATTGAAATTTAAAAATTTCACCAAAATATTTAAATTTTAAAATAAGCAAATCCGAAAATAACTTAATTGAACAGCGTTTAGAGACTACAACATCCTATGAGAAATTATTGATCAACTAGAGGATTTCTCTGAATCAAGATCCCTTTACTTTTATTTTTATTTTTCTTTTTAAGAAAAATTGTTGAAGAATTCTCTTTTGGAAAAAGTAATATATTTGCCAGTCACTATCTAACAAAGATGTTCTAAAGTTTTTTTCCTGTTAAGATAAAATATAATATAAATAGGCAATGAAGAAGACATTTTTGCTAAGGTCATCATAACCAACGTTATCTATTTTTAAAAATGCCATCATAAATGTTTTTAAAACAATATTAAGTGCAAGCGTACCTAACATATAATCTGATTGATGCAAAATATGTATTTTATAAATATTCCTACAAACCTACAAAATTAAGCGTAAATTTAACGATTTTTTCCTATTTTCCCAAAATTTTAGTGATTAATTACCAAAAGCAATTAGCCTTCGCTATGGAAAAGATTAGTATAGCCGCTAAATTCCAAAAAAAAACAAAATAACATTTAACAAAACCTCTAGACAAATGAGAATGGAATTAATTAGGAATAAAAACAGGACAATGAATATAGTTTGAACAAGATGCCAATAAAAAAAAAGAAATTGGATTTCAAAAAAAAAAATGTATGAAAGAGAAAAAATACTTACGGAAAAGCCGCCATGGTAGCCAATTTAACATACAATTCTTTTTTATCACTTTTCAAGCTAAACAGATGAGGTGGTAACAGCTTGTATTTATCGCAGAATTCAGCAGGCTGCAGCAGATAATCCTGACGACGCTCATCCATATCCGATTTGGTGCCAACAATCATGACGGGAATTTTACTCTCGGCATAGTATTTAATGTAAATGCGTGCAATATATTCAAAAGAACGAGGATTGGAAGAATCATAGACCAAACAGGCAACATCACAATTAATCTCTTGGGGTTGTAGAGGATCTAAAGCGTGTTTAACATCGATATCACGTAAAATTAAGTGTTTCTCTTGGCCATAGACCTAAGAAAAGGGAAATTTTAGAAAATTATTATTTGCAAATATTAAGGTTTTTTCTTTCCACCTTCTCCTTACCTGGACCGTATTGCAGCAGTGTACCACATTTGTTTTAAACTCTTTGCCTATTAAAGATTTCATATCATCCTTGAGTAGAAAACCACGACAAAGACCAGTTTTTCCTGAACCCTTGGGTCCTATAACATGACACATATACACTGAACGACTGCTTTGGCGTTTAGCCAAATCTATGCGCCTCTCTCTTGTCACATGTATGGCGGCCAATTGTGTATCATTTTCATGCACATTAAAACCCAAATAAGCCAGATATTCCATGGTTTTATAAACATCTGTTAGAGTCATTAAAGTCCAACGACACAGCCAACCATTTAAATTAACCCAACCCTGTTCATTGACGGGACATGATTTACGTATATCCGTGGAATAAGACCAGGGTGGTGTAGGACATGTACTAAATAACATTTTATGCTCCTCGGGTGATAGAGCACCATCAGCATCCTTGTCATAACGCTCGAATAAAGCAATTAAGAACTGTTGGCCACGATGTGATAATTCGGTACTACTTCCTGGTGGTATTTTCAAAGTGGGCTTTAAATAATCTTTACACATTTCCAATTGTTCATTGTAACCGAAACGTCTTAATACCGCCCAAGTGGTTTCATTGCGTCCTCGCTGTATAAATAAACAGTGAAGGAAAAGGAAACCTTTTAATGTTACCGAATCATTGTAAATGCCATCGGCTACATTTTTCTGTATAACCGATTTGACTTCATCGAGAATTTGTGGCTGCAAGGGTGTGTTGAAACAACGTCTTTGGAAAAGATTCAGCTCGTAGTCGTTGAGAAGATTGTCACCATCAATGTCACAAATTTTGAAAATACGCACCAGAGATTTTTTGCAAGCGGGAGTGAGCTAAAGATAATTGAAATGTTTTTATTAATTTTGTTTTTGAACTAAACTAGAACTGAACTAGAACTGAAGGAGAACTGAACTAGAACTGAACTAGAACAGAACTGGAACTGAACTAGAACTGAACTAGAACTGAACTAGAACTGAACTAGAACTGAACTAGAACTGAACTAGAACTGAACTAGAACTGAACTAGAACTGAACTAGAACTGAACTAGAACTGAACTAGAACTGAACTAGAACTGAACTAGAACTGAACTAGAACTGAACTAGAACTGAACTAGAACTGAACTAGAACTGAACTGAACTAGAACTGAACTAGAACTGAACTAGAACTGAACCAGAACTGAACTAGAACTGAACTAGAACTGAACTAGAACTGAACCAGAACTGAACTAGAACTGAACTAGAACTGAACTAGAACTGAACTAGAGCTGAACTAGAGCTGAAATAGAATTGAACTAGAACTGAACTAGAACTTAGCTAGAACTTAACTAGAACTGAAGTGGAACTTAACAAAATCTAAACTGGAACTAGAACTACTAGAGCATAAAGAATTTTTTCTTAAAACAAAAATATTGTCAACAGCAAACCCTCTTCTCTGCTGACTCACTCAAATTCATACATGTTGAAATTGTGTCAAATTGTTTAAAAAAAATAAAACTATTGTGAAACTACTTACATCTTGTTCTTCCATAATATAGAGGGGGGATGTTGGATGTAATACTGCCTTTTGTGCGTAATAAAACATTTCGGATATATTGTGTAAAGTTTTGGCCGAACATTCTACACAACTTTCAACCTCAGGGAAATCCTCCATAATGCAAAGAACACTCTGCAATCAGAAAGCAAATAAAATATTATAATATACATAGTTATTAAGCAAACAAATTGACAAATAATAAACTAACATTAATGGTTGAGTAATCGATCAAATCAACTTTATTGCCAACCAAAACAACCGGTTTCCTAGGTTGATCTTCACCCACAGCATTACGTATCAAAGGCAACCAATGTGAAGTAATACGATCCAAAGTATCATCATCATCGACCGCATAAACAATGCAGACAACATGAGATTTAACGATTTCTTCATTTAAGATTTCGTCGTTTTGTTCAATGCCTATGCAATAGAAAGCTTATTAATAAATATTTTCTAAAATCCTAATACTTGCTACTTACTTGAATAATCCACTATATTGGTGGGCACTTGCTCCGGTGTAACATTAGCAGGTATGGTGATCTCTTCTGCTTTAGGGGGTACATCTTCTGGAAATTCTTCACTTACCAGGGAGAGTATAAGGGAAGTTTTGCCAACGCCCGCATCACCCACCAATAGTATGCGGACATTTTTTCGTTGTGCAGCATTAAAGGATACCATTTTTGTTTTTTTTGTACAAATATTCTTTGTCTATGTCTCAAAACTAAAAAGCACGCCCAGTCTGGTTAAAGAAATCTGTAAATAAAAAGTGAAACTTTTAAGAATGTCCATATTATTCAACTTGGAAAATTGCTACAACTTTTAACCACTAATGTATCTACATATATTTTTCTTTTTATAATAAACACTATTTTTAATTAATTAGCCACATGGGGGGTCGGTGTCACTAACAACTTGGCATCCATCTGTATGGTCTTACTCATTTGCAGAGATTCTTTTACGATTCTTGTTCTTTGTCTCCCTGCCAGAGTCGGTCGGTGAGTGTGTCTCACATGCAAATCAATAATTTTCTTGTCACATACTTACATTTATTTTGTTTTTCTTTTACTCTTCTCACTTTTCTTATTATCCTTTTAAGGTTTTATAACTAAAGTTTTTTCTATTTTGTTACACAGCTAAACTAAAAACATTGTAATTTATTTGTTTTTAAAATTATTTAAACTAAAATTACATAAACCCTTTAATGTAGAAGTTTAGTCGGAAAATATAATTTTTTTCTTCTAATTAGACAAAAAAAGTATTTCTTTTGACAAGTTGCGAAATTTATGTTGCCGGATGGTTGAGGGAAAAATGTAAGAAAAATTTAATGTGGCCAGATGGTAAAACAGTTTTAAAAGTATATAAGGGAGAGTAAAAGTTAAAAATTAATGCAAAATATTATTTTCTTTTAGAAAAATCAACGCACAAATGGTTTTGTAACTATTAACACCAACAAAAATACCATAATTAATTAAAAATTTTGTAAATTTATTTTTAAGCCTTATTGCAAATCTGGCAGCCTGCTTTATTAGTTACAGTATGATTCATAACTAAATATTTTTGTTGTAGCTATAATTTTTGACAACTATTTGACAGCCGCATTTTTATATAACAAATTTACAGTAAGCATTTTTTCTACCGGAGTGTTATATTTTTTGCATATAATCTCAGTTAATCTATTTAATTTATTTGTAATTTTCTCAAATTTTTTGTAAAAAAAACACAATAAAATGGCAGCCGCCGATAAAACCTGCAACATGTGCGATAAATTGGGTTTGAAACCCTTCACCAAAGAAAACATTTACTATTACTACATTCCCCTACAGGGTTTGGTCAGTTATGGAGCATTATCGGTTAATGTTATGAATCCCGCTTTGATCTCCAAGATTCTTACACCCAAAAAGGATTTAACTAATGTTTTGCTTTTGGGCTCAATTGTGGGTGGTGCTTTCTATGTCTATGGTCGTCCTGCCCTGGCCGAGGTGCCCAATAGCAAACGCGGTTTGTATGCTACCTTGGGTGGTGGTCTATGGGCCATGGGCTCTGTTTTAGGCTGGGCCATTATTAAATCTGTACTGCCTAGAGATAATGCTGCTGTGGCTACTATTGCTGGTTTGGCTACTGGTGCTGCCATCGTTAAGGTGACCACAGATTACTTTGCCGATACCGATAAATTGGCGAAAAAGAACTAAAATTATATGGAGTTCGTTCAAAGTTATCATAATCTTGAAACCTGTGTGCTAGTAGTAGAAGTAGCTGTGTCTTAAAAAAAACACCACTTTGCATTATGAAAATAAAAAAGAAAAAATTTCTAAACATGTTCTGCCAAATAATTGCATCATTTTCTACATCAGTTGCTGTGTGTCATAAACACAAGTGCATGTATAAAAATAAATATTAGAAAAAAAAAATAATGTAAAGCAGTTATGATTCTTTAAAGTTTTGTGTATATATAATTTTTTTAATTTATCATTTATTTCCTCGTAAAAATAAAAGTTACCAAAAGGATAAATCTATTGTGAAAGTTTTATTTATTGGTTGCGCTATAGGGTTTTTTTTTAAATTTCTAAAGTTTTTTTTAAGTATTTTTAGTTTAATCGAATTCCTTTTAATACCTCTTCGGTCAGATGTAAATGAACTTTTGGTTAGTGTTGTTAATTTAGTGATTTTTTTATACTAATTGATTTTTCAATGAGAATGTAGAATAAAATATTTCCAAAAACGTTTCAAATTCCGGAATAATACTATGAAATTTACCAAGTGACCTTTTGATAAACCAAGGACGTATAACATATTTATGATTGAACAGTGGGAGTCAATCTGCAAAAGGTTTCTTCAACGCTTACAACCGTTTGGAAAAGGTAAAAAGTTAACGGTATTTAGGCTAAGAATATTTTAGCGGTAACGGTAGTAAAGCTGAAAAGGGCAAATTCAGCATAATTCTGACAAATTTAGAAAAATCGTTAAGAAATTCAAAAGAATTTTGTTAAATTTAATTTGCGCAAGCGACAAGTTTCAAAATAACACTACCGCTTGCGACAAGTTTTCAAGGAAACCTTTAATATGGCGACAAATATTCATAGAAGATCTTGCGCTAGCGATAAATTTCAGAGAAAAGCCCGAGTTACATACAGTTATATAAAAAATCTTTGCGACAACGAGCTAGTCACAACTTTTCATAGAAAATCTTGTGCTAGCGACAAATTTTTAAAAGTTAGCGACAGGATTTCACAGAAAACTTTGCGTTAGTGACAAGTTTAATAGATGATCTTCCTTTTACTACAACTTTTCATATAAAACCTTTCGTTGGCGGCAATTTTTCAAAGAAAATCTGATTTATCAAAGAAAATCTCAAGCTTGCGACAAATTTTCATAAAAAATCTAGTGCAGCTACAACAGTTCATAGTAAATCTTACGCTTGCAACAGGTTTTCACAGAAAATTTTACGTCAGCGACAAGTTTTTTAGAAAATCTTGCTCTTTCTACAAATTTTCAATTAAAACCTTGCTAGCGACAAGTTATCTTAGAAAATCTCGAGATAACAACAAATTTTAATAGAAAATATTGAATCATTAAACAATTTTTATAGAAAATCATGCGCTTAACTATTGGCTTCAAATCTAGCGACAAGTTTTCATAGAAAATCTAGAGCGACAAGTTTTTATAGAAAATCTAGAGCGACAAGTTTTCTTAGTTAATCTAGATTGACAAATCTAGCGACAAGTTTTAATCGAAAATCTTGAGTTAACGACAAGTTTTTATAGAAAATCTAGAGCGACAAGTTTTCTTAGTTAATCTAGATTGACAAATCTAGCGACAAGTTTTAATCGAAAATCTTGAGTTAACGACAAGTTTTTATAGAAAATCTAGAGCGACAAGTTTTCATAGTAAATCTTGTGGTACTAGTTATCATAAAAGTTATCATAAAAAATCTTGCGTACGCCAGAAATTTTCATAGAAAAATCTACGATAGCGAGAATTGTTTAAAGAAAATCTAGAGCATGCGACAAATTTTTTCAGAAAATCAAGCGCAAGCAGTAAGTTTTCATAGTAAGTCTCGTGCTAGCAACAGTATTTGATTTTGTTTGCAACAGGCGAAAAGTTTACATAGAAAATCTTGAACTACAAGTTTTTATGGAAAATCTAGAGCGACAAGTTTTCATAGTTAATCTAGAGTGACAAGTTTTCATATTTCGCTAGCGTTAAAAATTCATAGAAAATTCTGCGCTAGCGACAAATTTTCTTAGAGCGACAAAATTTCTTATAAAACCTTTCTTGCCTTTCAAATTTAAACTAAAACAAAGCAACGATAATATAATTATTTTTTATACGATTTTTTTAATGCAACAAAATATAATTTTCTTATAAATTACATTGTTTTTTTTTTAATCTTGTATGTTTTGTTTTTTTACGTTAGTAAAGAGGCTGTGAAAAGATTTTAAAATATAATTTAAAAAAATCTGTAGATAAAAACCGTTTGCACATAAAAGATAAACTAAGAAAGAAAATTATGAATAATTTTGCTTAAACCTTAAATATTAATAATCTTAGATAAGATTTTGTTTTTACTTGTGATTTTTGTGTTATTTATTAAAATGTTGTAGTTAGAAATTTTAAATTTTTCAAATTTAAAATATTGCTATAAACAGGTTTGTTATTAATTATTACAACTTGTCGTATAAGGAGAGAGATAATAAGATATAGAGTGGTAGGAAGGGGGAGTTAGGGAAATGTGTAGTATTATTTATGTATATGTTGTTATTAATAAAATATTTAATATACAAATTACAACACAAATATTAAAAAAAAGGATTTTATTAATATAAACAAAAAAATTCAAAAAATTTACAACAAATCATAAAAAAGTTAAAATAAAAAAATTTGGAAAAAATTTAAATTTAAAGAAATCTAATATGTATAAGGACGCTAATACAAATACAGTTGTTGTTTGTATACAAAGTATTACTAAAATTTTGGAAATTATAATGGAAGAGAGTGAGAGAGAGGTATGGAAAATGTTCAAGAAAAGCTATTACAAATATAGCTAAAGAAAATTAAAAAAAAAATAATAAAATTTGGACAAATAAAACTTTGAAAATAAAAGGATAAATACATTTAAATTATGTAAAAATATATATATTTTTAAGATAAACACTATAGACTACCAACACCACCACCTCCACCACCACCATCGTTTGTATTTGCACTCGTTGTTGTGGGTCCAGTTGTAGACGAAGACGACGACGCTTCATTTTGAGCTGCTGTTACAGTTTCTGGTAATTTGACTTTTAATTGAACTTTTAAAACTTCTCTCAATTCATTGAGTTCTTGGGGTCCTTGCATTTGACGTTTAACTCCGCGTGGCAAACCACGACATGATGACAAATTTAATGTGCTCATTAGAGGACAATTGGCTAAAATCTCTTTAACAGCATCTTCGGAAACGGACGAACCACATAAATTAAGATGACTGCAAAAAAAATTATTATATTTTTGTCTATAACTTTAAATAAAAAAAAAAAACTTACGCTAAACGTGACTCAGCGCCCTTGTCGGCCAAGGCACGTAGGGCGTTATCCAACGGAAGTTGCACATTAGCCCAAGCAAGATCCAATTCGATTAGACTATGAGCCCATTTTGAAGCAATCAATTCAAGACCCGATCTAAAATAAAGGTTTTTTGTTAATACATTTCAAGTTAGAATTAAAGTTGCCTAAGGAACAATGTTCCTTTTTAAAATCCTAAGCTAGCGACAAATTTTCATAAAAATATTAAGCGACAAGTTTTCGTAGAAAATCCAGATCTTGAGCGTCAAGTTTTAATAGAAAATCTAAAACATAAAAAAGCTGAGCGACAAGTTTTCATAGAAATTTAGAGCTAGCGAAAAGCTTAAAATGTTGAGCTAGCGACATGTTTTCATAAAAAATCTTGAACTAGCGACAACTTTTTATAGAAAATCTTGAGCAAGCGACAAGTTATAATAGAAAATATTGTGCTAGCGGCAAGTTTAATAGAAAGTCTAGAGATAGTGAAAAGTTTTTACAGAAATTCTGTGCTTGCGACAAGTTTTTACAGAAATTCTTGAGCTAGCGACATATTAACATAGAAAATCATGAGCTAGCGACAAGTTTTCATACAAAATCTTGAGCAACAAGTTTTTATAGTTAATCTAGAGCTACCTGCGATTTGTTTATAGAAAATCTTGATGGAAAATTTTCATAAAAACTCTTGAGCGACAAGTTTTAATAGAAAATCTACAGCATAAAAAACGTTGAGAGACAAGTTTTTATGAAAACTTCTTCAGCTACAAGTTTTCATAGAAAATATAGAATTAGCGACAAGCTTAATACTAGCGACAAGTATTCATGGAAAATCTTTCGCTAGCGACAATCTTAAGACAAATCTTGAGATAGCGACAAGTTTTTCTTGACCTAACTACATCTTTTCATTTTATAGCAAATCTAGAGTGACACATAGTTAATCTAAAGCGACAAGTTTTCATAGTAAATCTTGAGCTACTAGCTACTTGTTTATAGAAAATCTTATGCTATTGACAAAGTTTCACAGAAAATCTTTAGCTAGCGACAAGCTTTCATAGAAAATCTTGAGCTAGCGATAAGGTTTCATAGAAAATCTTAAGCCAGCGACAAGCTTTCATAGAAAATATTGAGCTAGCGAAAAGTTTTTATAAAAAATCTTAAGCTAGTGACAACTTTTCATAGAATATATTGAACTAGCGTCAAGCGTTCATAAAAAATCTTAAGCCAGCGACAAGTTTTCATAGAAAATCTTGAGCTAGCGACTTTTTATAGAAAATCTTGACCTAGCGACAACCTTTTCAGCGACAAGTTATTATGGAAAATCTAGAGCGCCAAGTTTTATAGTAAATCTTAAGATACTAGCGAATTGTTTATAGAAAATCTTGTGCTAGCGACAAGGTTTAATAGAAAATAATATAAATTTTCATAGAAAATCTTGAGCTAGCGACAAGATTTCATAGAACTAGCGACAAGTTACCATGAAAAATCTTGAACTAAAGATAAATTTCCATAGAAAATCTTACGCTGGCGGTAGAAAACAAAAACTTACCCCATATCTCTGGTAACTGAGCAGCCAGATAAAAATAAATGTTTTATATCCCAAGCAGGTAAACGTATAAGACTTTCATGGGTTAAACGAGCGCAGCCACGAACATCTAACAGTTTTAATTTTGAAGATGATTTCAAAATACGTTGAATATGTTCATCGCCAATAACACGTGATTCATCGGTAACAGCCACAGAAAGTTCCTCCAATTCGGGAAAACCTGGGGAATCCATCTGGAGGGTGAAAAAAAAGAAATGAATAAATAAATATAAGAGTCATATTGACGCAATAATTTCAATTACCATTTCCTGCAGTGAAGCTGTACTTAAGGTTATATGAGAATTTGTAATACGCAAAACTTTAAGTTTTGGACAGCCTTGCTGTAATTTTTCTATATGTAAAATACCATGAGATGTGGCTTGAGTTGTTACATTTGATAAGTCTAAAAGTACTAAATTTGGGCAATGAGTCTGTAAGAAAAATTAAGTTTAAATTTTAGACATTCTAATGTTTTCTTTTTTGAAATATTTTACCGATAAAACATTGACTAATTGTGGTATGCCAGCTAAACGATTGTGCGCCAAATAGAGATGCGTTAAACGTTCGCCCATTACTTGCATAGAATTGCACAGTGATTGTACTCCCACAGCACTTTTACTAGCATTCATTTCAACCTATTAAAAAAAGGAATTGTAAAGAAAAATCCTTGTGTTTATGGAAATGTTTACTTACATTAACGGAACTTAAATCTATACGTTCGAGTTTTTTCATATTCTCAACCAGATATCCCAAATGATCATAAGTGAAACCTTTCCAACCGGACAAAGTGATACTGGTTAAATTTGGAGCACCCACAGCAAGTTTTAACAAAAAACAATTGATATCAGTGACTTTCCATTGTGCTATACGAAAAAAAAAAAAGAAAATTAGGTTAAAAAACAGCAAAAGTTAATTATAGACAATACTTACAAACATTCAATTCTGTACAGCAGCTACAACGATTATCCACAAACCATTTCAGCTTCAACTCCGTGCGATACTTTTCCTTTATCCAAGTACTTAAATCCATAACACGCCATAAGGTAGGGGACAATGAAACGCGACGCCACAGTGAGCATACCCTACCCAAACGGAATAGTGTTGGAAGGCAACCTTCTTTATCCACAACATATTGAAAAATCTAAAAGTTTAAAAACTTTTTTAGGACTAACGTTTAATATTAAAAATTATTTGTATAAAAACCTTAAAAAGTACTGGTTCTGGTAATTGTGATCCCCATATGGTCTGTTCTATTGCTTCTCTGGGTTCATCAGTGTCATTTATTGTTACGGCCGTGGCTGAAGGTGTTTGTCTTTTTGTATTACGTTCTTTTTTACGTTTAGGTTCATAATCCATTTCATCGTTTTCATGATCATCCAGTTTAACACGCTGCTTAACAGTTCTTGAACTTTTACGACTTCTCACCGATGATGTGCCCGATTTATTAAGACCTCTGGCTACGGCAGCCATAACGGCTGAGGTATTCAGTGAACTGTCTGATTTCTTTATGCACAACTTAATGCCACTCTGATTTTCGCTTATCTGTAAATTAAATAAAGAGAAAATTATGGTATCAGTCTGCAAACTTACTAAATGTTTTAGTAAAAAGATTTAAAACTTACCTCACTTTCATACATGGCCACCGATGACTTTGGTTTTCGTGTACGTGTTGTTTTTACAGATCTTTCCAATTTTTTACTCATGGTCGATAGCAATGGTTTGCCAGCATTCGGTATTGTGCCGTTGCGCACCACATTGATGGGCTGTTGTATACAATTATTGGCCAAAGTAGTTGGACTTTGGGGTACAGATTCGGGAGAATGTTTAGGCGTACTGGTGTCTGTGGGCGGTGTATTAACAGATGAATTCGCTGGTGAACGTTCTTGACCCATAGCTGGGCCAACAACTGTCGCTGAGGGAGGTGTGGAGCCGGGAGTGGAAGCATGAGGAGAAGTTATACACGATGATTGTGTTTTATCATCATTTTCACAGGTTAAACTGGGGGGTGATTGTATTGAGGAGGGTAATTCGTTACTAGAATGTGTTGCTTTATCCTTGGCTGTATTATTGGTATCATCTGGGGCGGCGGACTTAAGGTTGGCATGATTTTTTATTTCTCCTTGAAGAATGCCTGCATTCTTATTGTTTTCCGTTTCATTCAACAATTTCATTTCAATATCGTGCTCTTCTTGTTCCAAAGAATCATTTCCATCATCTTCATCTTCCTCACCTGTATGTTCATCTTCCTCGTCCTCATCATCCTCAATCTCTGCAGGCACTTGATTAACTAACAACTTCTTAATAGAGCCATGTTCATCACTACTTGCCGCTTTTTGGGTATTTTCACTAGTTGGCCGATAGTTGTCAATATTCAAATCCATACTTGCGCCACAAGAATCTTCCTTATCCGTGGAATTATCATTCGAATCCATGGATTATATGGAAAAAGCAATCACTATTTAAACTCTCGTATAGAAACTCTAAATCCTTTCGTCCATCAACTGAAGAATGAAGTTTATTTTTAGTTGTTGTAATTTTCTCTACGTATTGTTGTTGCTTCGTTTCTTATTATTACGTTTAGCGGTTTTTTGGTCTATTTTTATTATTTTTTTCTTTAATTCTTGTCTTTACACTACAAGTACAGTTATTTTCCTATTTAATACTTGTTTTATGCATTTTTTACAACAACAATTACTTTATTATAATTTATTTTCTATTTATTAATAAAAATTATTTGTGCACTATTTTTTTTTTTCAAATTTTTCTTATTTTTTGTAAGGATATTTTTTGCTTTTTGACTTTCTTAACGTTGATTTGTTAGTGGACGCGACTAAAGAAATTTTTTTCTTCTTCCAGTTTTTCTGTACTCCCGCACTCACTATTTATTTCATTCTCTCTCTACTGGCTCACCACATTAGAGTGAAGAGTTCAGCTATAGGTGTACTCTTCAATTGTTTTTATTTTATTGACTTTTTCATCTTTTTCAATAGATAAACAATTTTATTTATTACATTTTCTTTGCTCGTTGATGTATATTTTTTTTTGTTTTATAAAAACTTGTTTTAGTTTATTTTCTTTAATGTAGTTTTTATTGAAATTGCATATTTCTAGTTATTAAAGGTATTTGTTATTTTATTTCCCACCATTTAACGACGTAGAAAAGTAATGCAAAATTGATGACGATAAAAAGTTGTCTTTTACTAAATAACGATTACTTGCCGCAAGTGGTTACTTAAAGGTTTGTGTAGGGAGAAATTAAGCAAAAAGTAACCAGTAAATTTAGTGATTAGTTATGTTGAAGTGGCGATAATTTTAAAAGTACAAGTTATCGTTTAAGGAATAGTTGGACAGTTTAATTTTGAATATTGTTTGTAGAGGAATGGTTTATTAAGTAAACACTAAGTTTATTAAGTAAACACTAAGCCTAGCCGCCGAACAAAATGTCAAAGCCGCAGCCGCCGCTGAAAATTTTTCAGTTTAATAATTTCTCCATATTTTGTACAATTTACAGAACTCTTTCGCTAAATTTATGGAATTTTACAATATAAAATTAATTTGCTTTCATTTAAGCAAGTTTTTTTTATCTAATAATAAGCCGCTCATTGAAATTTGGCCGGTGAAAACTTTGCTCAACGTTCGATGCATATGCTTCGCCTCAGATATTTTTGTGTTTACGTGCCTAATTCGAGTCGCTGCTTTTACTTCAAACACTTTGTGTTTGTAGCAAACACGAGATACGAAAAATTTATTGCTGATTGACAAACCAGAGTTTCCTATGTCGTCAAACAAATGTATTTTAAATGGGACGTCAAACAAAATCTGTTTCCGAAGGAAAAATTCTGAAATTTTTTGCGCGCAGTTGCATGTTTTCGCGCCAATTTTTGCAAATTCTTTATTTGATCTTCTGTCATTTTACATACATTTTGAGTTTGTAACAAACGTAGAACGTGTTCAGTTTGGAAATTGTTTGAATTTTTTTTAAAAAAGTTATAAAATATACTATATTGAAAATAACATAATTGTTTATTGAAAAAGTGTTAATACTAAAAATATTAAATGATTTCTCCTGTTTGTGAGATCTAGAAGATTAAAAAATGTATGTAATGATGTTAATTAATTATTTATTTGTCTCTAAAGAACGTCTGTCTTTTAAGAAAGAGCAGGCATCATGATGTTCTCCTGGAAGAATTCCCACAAGAGAGTGGCAGTTGTATACCTCCCTAGTCACCTAGGCGGGTGGTGGTCGGTCGGCTAGTAGTGACATGGTATATTATCACCTAGAGGCAATGGACGGACGCTGATTGCCGTATCCAGGGGTTACCACAAGGATACATACTTATTATTATACCATTGATCTCAGCAGAATCACTACCATACACCCATAATAGAGAGCGATATCTGTCTGGTGTGCCTTTCAGTGAAGCTCTTGTTGTCTCCAAACACTATGGTGGCCGAATATTTACAAGAAACAATTTGTAAGTCGCCTTTTTCCATATAATCCATGGATTCGAATGATAATTCCACGGATAAGGAAGATTCTTGTGGCGCAAATATGGATTTGAATATTGACAACTATCGGCCAACTAGTGATAATACCCAAAAAGCGGCAAGTAGTGATGAACATGGCTCTATTACGAAGTTGTTAGTTAATCAAGTGACTGCAGAGAATGAGGAGGATGATGACGAGGAAGATGAACATATAGGTGAGGAAGATGAGTATGATGGAAATGATTTTTTGCAACAAGAAGAGCAAGACATCACGACAATCTTAAGTCTGTCGCCTCAGATGATACAGCCAAGGAACACAATATATTACCGAATTACCCTCCTCAATACAATCAACTCCCAGTTTAACCTATGAAAATGATGATTAAACTCAATCTTCGTGTATAACTTCTCCTCATGCTTCCACTCCCGTCTCCACACCTCCCTCAGTGACAGTTTATGGATCAGCTATGGACCAAGAACGTTCACCAACTGTTAATACACCGCCCCCATACAAGTACACGTTCCCCAAAGTCCAAGTATTTTGGCAAATAATCGTATACAACAGTCCATCTATGTAGTGACCATGAGTAAAAAATTGCGAAGTGTAAAAACAACACGTACACGAAAACCGAAGTAAGTCATCGTTGGCCATGTATGAAAGTGAGGTAAAGTATAAATCTGTTTAGTATTATTTAGTAAGTCTATCTATCTCTATATAAAAGCCCATTACTGCGGTGATAGATAAAGATAGATGATGATAGATAGAATGATCGATAGATAGTATCGATAGATAGATAGATAGATAGATCGATCGATAGCTATAGATCGATAGATCGATGCTAGCTAGATAGATAGATAGATCGATAGCTAGCTCGATCGAGCTCGATAGCTCGCTCTATCGCTCGTCTCGCTCTCTCGCTAGCTCGCTCGCTCGCTCGCTCGCTAGCTCGCTCGCTCGCTCGCTCGCTCGCTATCGCTCGATCGCTCGCTCGCTCGCTCGCTCGCTCGCTCGCTCGTCTCGCTCGCTCGCTCGCTCCTCGCTCGCTCGCTCGCTCGCTCGCTCGCTGCTCGCTCCTCGCTCGCTCGCTCGCTCGCTCGCTCCTCGCTCGCTCGCTCGCTCGCTCGCTCGCTCGCTCGCTCGCTCGCTCGCTCGCTCGCTCGCTCGCTCGCTCGCTCTCTCGCTCGCTCGCTCGCTCGCTCGCTCGCTCGCTCGCTCGCTTGCTCGCTCGCTCTCGCTCGCTCGCTCGCTCGCTCGCTGCTCGCTCGCTCTCTCGCTCGCTCGCTGCTCGCTCGCTCGTCGCTCGCTCGCTCGCTCGCTCGCTGCTGCTCGCTCGCTCGCTCGCTCGCTCGCTCGCTCGCTCGCTCTCTCGCTCGCTCGCTCGCGCGCTCGCTCGCTCGCTCTCGCTCGCTCTCTCTCGCTCGCTCGCTCGCTCGCTGCTCTCGCTCGCTCGCTCGCTCGCTCGCTCTCGCCGCTCGCTCGCTCGCTCGCTCGCTCGCTCGCTCGCTCGCTCGCTCGCTGGCTGGCTCGCTCGCTCGCTCTCTCGCTCGCTCGCTCGCTCCTCTCTCGCTCGCTCGCTCGCTCGCTCGCTCGCTCTCTCGCTCGCTCGCTCGCTCGCTCGCTCTCTCGCTCTCTCGCTCGCTCCCGCGTGTTCCGCGCCCCGTTCTCTCGCTTTTGTTCCTCCCGCCCGTTTTCTTCCTTTCTCTTTTGCGCCTCTGTCCTTTTTTGTTGTGGGCCTTTCATTTCTTCCCCGACATTTCAGTTTCGCCATTTCACCCCTGCCATTAGAACCTTTCCAGGTGCCTTTACCCGTCGAGAACTTACTTATTCGCATTTTGGTTTCATTAAGCTTTCTATTTCCTTGATCACAACATGATCATGATTATTATTGAAAATAACCTAAGATCTTAGAACTACAAAGATCTTAAAACTACAAAGTAAATAAAACAAAATTTAGAATATTTATTTAAGAAATTAACACCTAAGCAGTATTTACTTCTTAAAAAGTTAACAAGAATACAAAAATACATACAATTATTAATAATTTCTTTAAAAAGGCAAAACCATAGCCATATACTTTTTTTTATAAGAATTTATTTATTTTATTAGTTTTGCAATGAAAAGTTTTAAATATTAAATACTTGCTACATGTGACTATAAAAACTTTGTATTTAAATTGTTTAAATTATTATTAAGCTAAGAATAGGGGTTTTTTCCTTTTATTAACCTTAAACCGGGAGGAAAATTTAAGGAGTGTTTTTTTTCTGTAAAATAAAACTTTTTTAATTTTTATATTTATTTTGGTGTTTAAGGTGTTAATTAATAGCTCACTAGAGGGTTTAATGTCTGCTAGTTGTTAGCATATTACTCAGTAGATTTGACCAGAGTTGGACCATGTTTTTAGTGTAAGTGTGAAAGCTAATTAGTGTTAAACGGCAAGTGCTGGGCAAACTACTACGTTCTGCACGAGTTAATTTATATGTTTTTTTTTATTAACTACATAATTTTTAAATATTTTTTTTATATTTTTAAATTCCTCATTTTTTTCATCACTTATAAAACTAATTACTTTAAGCTTAAATCTAATTTACATCTATTATATAAAACTATAAAAGATTATTTCGAGTCCTTGATTACACTTTTGTAGATTTAACAACTAAAATTTGTCATTTTATGTTCTTTGGCCTTTAAACGTACCCATAAGCCTCCTGAAGCCCTTAAGGTTATACGAAATGTGGCCTCAAAATTTGTTTTTCCCGGCACTGGTAAAATATAATAACTGCGCAATAATCTAGAGATGACAGTTTTCATTTCCATAATAGCAAAACGATTGCCAATGCAATAGCGAGGCCCAGCACTGAAAGGCAAAAAGGCATAAGGATGTCTTTTTTTCCGCATTTTCGGGAGAAAAACGTTCTGGATCAAACTTCTTCCGGTTCAGGATAGATATGCTCCAAACGGTGGGTGGCATAGGGACAGATAAAAACATTACTACCCGCCGGCAAAGTGTATTTAGCCAAACGCACCTCTTCACCCAGTTTACGTGCTATTAAAGGAACACTAGGATATAAACGCAATGACTCCTTAATGCACATTTCCATATAACGCATGTCGCGTAAATCTTGCATTGTCGGTGCCCGTTGATCATCACCAAATATACGCTCTAACTCCTCAGCACATTTCTCTTGGCATTCTTCGTTTTGAGCCAATAAGAAAATGGTAAAGGCTACTGCTGCTCCCACAGAATCTTGACCGGCTAACATAAAAGTACATGCCTCATTGACTATATCTTCTTCGGTGAAATCAGGATTATTATCTGATATATCGATCATATAGTCCAGTAAACATTTCTTCTCTGTTTCATTATTGTTACTCTTCAGTTCACGTCGTTTGCAGATCATTTTCCTAGTGAATTCATGCAAACGTTTCTTTTGATTAAGTTCATCCGAGGCCAGTTTAGTCATGTGATAAACACTATCCCATAAGAGCCAAGGTTGCAGGAAACGTTGTGGTATCACCAGTTTTCCCCTGTAGACAAAGAAAAAGGCAAAATTAAGAAAATTTTATTAAGGAAATGGTTTAGTATTGAAAACTAAATACTTACTGCCTGAAAGGTGATTGTTCCATATCAATGTTATTCTTTTTCTTAACCGGCACTCCCAAAACCGCTTCTGGAATAAAAAGAGCATTTTAATCAAATTAACAAAATCCATATTCTTGTTTTCACCA